ATTATTAGGCTGATTTATTAACTTTAACAACTGTATTCTGTCTTATCAGATGAATATCCATTCAAACTATGGATGTCACAGGTATGTACATTATTACAGTGTCAGTTAAAATATAAAACATATTTTGAATGCTTTCATAAGAAGTTTTATGAAAGGTCTTCTGTATATGCTGTTACTTTTTTTGATGTGCAGCACAACAAGGTGTATGCCACTGAGCAGTACTACCACCGGCTCCAGATATTCACTGAGAATAAGAGGGAGATTGAGCATCATAATGCTGGGAATCACTCATTTACAAGTACGGTACAGTTCTGCACTAACCCCTGTATTACATCTGTAATGTATAGATTATTAACAAAGAGTTTACACTCTCCTTTAAACATGTCATATTTTCTAAAGTTATAAAAAGCATTAATCTTCTCACAATGTTGTTCATTTTCCAATCTAGTGGGCCTGAATCAGTTCTCAGACATGACATTTGAGGAATTCAGGAAATTGTTCCTTCTGACAGAGCCTCAGGTATGATATATATATATATATTTTTAAAAACAACACACTTACTTTTTTACATTTACTTTTGATATTAATGTTTGGTTTTCGGGCCTGTTGTAGAACTGCTCAGCTACCACAGGGGGTCATCTCAGCATGGCTGGTCCTTACCCTGAGTTTGTGGACTGGAGGATGAAGGGCAACGTTGTGACTCCTGTGAAGAACCAGGTATACTATAATATGCTTCTGAGCAGCCAAAACTAACACCTAACTAGAGGAAGAATCGGTATAAGAACTTTGTTGAATTTTAGCACTAAGTTACGTGCTCATTTTTAGTGGAAACTTTTGCAGCACATCCTCCAAGACTTGTATCTCTTTTCAAGCAACATTTCGTATGTAGAAAATTGTGTCCTGTTTAAAATACTTAGATTAAAATGGGAGAACTGAAAAGTGATATAAACCAATGTTTAAGTGCTATAGTCAAACAAAGAGTTGAATTTTGTATTCATGTGGCTTGACTTAATCATACAATGAGCATGATGAAGTGACAAATACAGCAGGGAGAAAAAGGATTTCTCTCTGACTTTAAAGGGGACCTATCATGCAAAATGCACTTTTTGATGTCTTTTATACATAAATATGTGTCCCCGGTGTGTCGGGGAACTCACGCAGCGTCAGAAAATAAAACCCTTTCTCTTTTCCTCTGTACCCACATCTATGTGGGATCTGTTTGTATTTTGAGCAAAACTCATCATAGACATGTTTTTATATATTTTTATATATCTGAGACCCATAATATATGCCTAAAAATAGTGCACTTTAAGCCCCGCCACGGACACATAATTCAATTTCCTGTATTCACAAGCAATTGACCTTCATTTGTAAAAAAATGTGTGGAGTGCCTCTTGAACATAAGTGAATTACCAGTGGTTAGAGTTAAATTGTCTGTGTCTTCAGGGTCGCTGTGGAAGCTGTTGGACCTTCTCTACCACTGGCTGTTTGGAGTCAGTGAATGCTATCGCTACAGGGAAGCTAATCACTCTGGTGAGATCTGCCTGACTATTATTTAGTAATACTCAAGTCAATGATGATTCAAATGATGTACTTGCAGAAGTCATCTCTGTTGTACTGTCTTAGTTTTATTCATTCCTGGATGCATATGGGATCCTGATTAAGTTGTTTGATCTCATAGACACTCAACCATTGAGCCACGATAGCCTAATATTGCTGTTTGAACGAAATCCAAACTACACTAAATACAAGACATGTATTACTGTCTGACTATGGGAAAGTAAGAACAATTGAAAATTACCTAAATACAGTTTCTGTCAAAATAAACGTTCACTATACCCAGACACATTTAGGGTATAATATGTGATCTTCTTTTGATAACTAATGCAATCATTTGTATACCCCTGGAAAAGGCCCCCCCACCCCTTTGTATACTTCTGATCTAGGCTTTATGCCAGAGTCTTTTAATGATTCGACATAGTCCTATAAGTACAGTATAATTGCTTTGCATGAAATGATAATGCAATTTGTTTTATGTTCCAGTCTGAGCAGCAGCTGATAGACTGTGCTCAAGACTTCAACAACCAGGGATGCATGGGGTAAGTTTGACTCTTTAGTTGTTTTTGCAGTAATAGCTATATACATAGCATTATAAGTCACACTAAAAATAAATACACTTGTGTATTAAACTCTATTTGTTTCAGTGGCCTCCCCAGCCAGGCATTTGAGTACATCAAATACAACAATGGTCTCATGACAGAGGAGGACTACCCCTACAAAGGCCATGTATGAGTTCTCTGGAGTAATGTCTCATTGTATAAATACTTTCTTTGACAAAAGGAATTCTCAATCTGTACATTTTTGTCTTTCCTTTCTTAGGACGACACTTGCCATTTTGAGCCTGCTCTTGCAGCTGCTTTTGTCCTGGATGTAGTCAACATAACAAGTGTGAGTGAACAAGTGTATACATCTGAATCTATATTATCAGCAGAAATTATTGCTAATTGTATGATAACTGTGACATTGTGCCACTGCCTTGAGTACTTACAGTTACAGTCCAATATACTGGACTGCCAACTATTTAATCACAACTCCTAACTGCATTGTGCTTTTCATTTTGGTATTAAACTTGCTTTTGCTTTTCTAATTGACAGTACGATGAAAAGGCCATGGTTGATGCTGTTGCCCGGCTCAACCCTGTGTCCTTCGGCTTTGAAGTCACGGCTGATTTTATGCACTACAAAGAAGGAGTTTACACAAGGTGAGCTAAGGACCATGAAAAGCACATGTATTTATGTATGTGTATTTATTGTCTTTTATACTAACATGTGGTTAAAACTCTTCAGAGGACTGTGGGGCCCTGTTGTTTCGGTCCATTTTGCACTATGAAAATATTTGTGATACAATAATGGGATTTTGTGTAGTAATCCTCCAGCACCAGATGTATTTAATCATGAAAGAGGATTATGAAACTAACAGAGCTACCAGTGAAATCTGCAAATCTTACTCATGGTTGTTTGCAGGATGTGACAGAAAAGCTGCTTGCACCTCAAAGCACAACACATATATTTAGACTTTTGTTTGATTTGGTGCTTTAAATGTCTGGTTTTGTCATTATAAAATCCAGATATAATCAGTTTAATATGATATCAAACATAGAAACCAGCATTCTCTGCAAGTTTGGCATGAAACGTTACTAAAATTATTATTCCATCATGAGAAATCATTGTTTTCTTCTGATCTCCTTTTTATCTGTGCCCACTGTGTTGGTCTGATGGCTCATTTGTTATGGTACCTACAGTTAAGAGTGCTTGTGAATCACTTCATTCAACTTTCTGTCCTCTCTATAACTGTGCTTTTTACTCTTTGGCTCTCTTTTTCATGGCTCTGTCACAAACAGGTATGAAAATATTTACAGAAACGGCTACAAAACCCAACTTTACATAGGCAGGTTGTGATATGATATTGATGAGAACAGTAGCCCATTCACCCTACATAAGACATGTACTCTATTCATGTTTAAAGCATCAGCATTGTGTGTTTAGCACCCAGTGTAAGAGCACCGCAGACATGGTGAATCATGCAGTCCTGGCTGTGGGTTACGGCACTGAAGAGAACGGCACGCCATATTGGATTGTGAAGAACTCTTGGGGTCCAGCCTGGGGAGTGGACGGGTAAATATAGACTCTGTGTGTGTCTGCTTGTGTTTTGGTCCGACCATTTGTTAGAGATTCCTGGATCACTGACACCTTTCTTTTTCTTTATTGAATCAGGTACTTTTTGATCGAGCAAGGGAAAAACATGTGCGGATTGGCTGCATGTGCTTCCTACCCTCTCCCTTTAGTAATATGAGGAGTAGCATCACAACAAAGTGGAGGACTGATACATCTCAGGATGGGATGTGATGCCTGTGCTTTCCTGTTTCCTGTTTGTGTTTTATGGAGAAGTTTGATTTCTCAATGTAATCTTAATATTGTTACAAAAATAAAAATGTGTCATATAATGTCCTGTCTGGTGCTTTCAGTTTTTTCTATTGCGGTAACTATGGGGTGCCTTTTATTAATTATTTGTGTTTTCTACTATTTTATTTTATTATGTCCTGTCTGTGGAGCGCTTTGAGACCGTTAGTTACTGTATGTGAGATGCATGGTGTCACGCTAAGTGATGGACATCCCTGTGGATCTCTCAGATAATGTTATGGCCAATCATCCATGTGTTATTTATTTAATGTTTCAGTCAGTGGCCTCTTTATGGGTCCATAAAGACAAAATGAGCTGTGTAAAAATCTCTGAATGTTTTCAAAGACGATAACAGGCTGCTTCTCCGATCTGCTGCGATTAACAAAGATTAGAGATGGTCACGTACTGTACATGGGGCACATTAGGGAGTCTGCGCAAAAGACAAGCAACTGTTTGTTACCATTTTTTACACGGTTTATTAATAAACAATTTCCCCCTTGACCTTATGTGTAGTTCATTATATATTTGCCTTATTATGGATTACATTTCTCTATGTTTGCATGCTTTTTGTCATTGAATATAAAAATTGTGCTCACATTTCTTTTAAATACAATAATTTTCTCGTTTATTGACTTTATATCTACTTTATATAAGATTATTATCTCCCTTTAATGAGATCACATTTTATTTGTTTATACATGTGCCATTTCCTTTATTAACATTTAATCTGCTATTTATATTAATTACTCTGAGCCACGTCTTCATTCACTTCCATCTGTTTATGTATTGGCACCGTGCTGCCTCATTTATCTACTTACATTCACTGAAAGCACAAGCACTTTTAAATTAAGTCTTATCATCTTCCTGTCTGCTATTGCCCACATCTGACGAAGGGCGGCGACATTTTCACTTGTTCTGCGGAAGTTAAAGACCGAAGCAAGGGATTAGATGTCAATCAAATTGTAACGCTGCCCATTGGCTATTGACAACATAGACCCGTCCCCTTTTTCTGATGACGCGTGAACACTAGCCAAAGAGCTACTTGGATTCTGTTTCACAACACAGAGAGGCAGAGCAAGCTACAAAACATTTCTAGCATGTGGCGCGAAATGTCCTCTTTAATCTTTCACCTAACAGCTGTAGGCTTCTTAGAAATAGCATTTTGGGAGTTTTTCTTTGCATAAATATTTCATTCTAATTGCTACAAGTGCACTAAAATGACAACAAAACGCGTACTTGTTTTGAAATTACAGGTGAGTAGTTGACGTTTTTTATCTGGTTAAATTAACATGAGGTTACTCACCATATTGTATCTGTTAGCTTTTCTATGTATAGAAGTCAATGGTTGGTGTTAAACGTACTTAAAAGAGAGTAGAGCAAGCATGTTGAGGCAAAAGTGTGTAAGTACATGCATATCGCTAAAATGTGTGCATTTGTTTTATTATTTCCAGTAAATTACATTAATTGTGTACACCTTGTAGAGAATGACCCCTCCGGTTCTCGATGGACCAGTCCGACGATCTGCACGAAGAAAAGCCATGGTTCCTATACGCTTCAAGGACTCATCGGAATCAGTGAATACACACAGCAAGAAAAGGGTAGGAGACACTTTCTTAATAACATTTAGTATCATTTAGTATGTTTGTTTGGTTTCTGTTAATATGCCCATATTTTGCTTATAGAAAACAACTCCAGACATAAAAAATAAAAGCCAGAGGAACAGAGAGGACATTAAAGAGGATTGTACATCTGTAAGTATGAACTACCCTGCTCAGTTTATCATGTTCATTGTGCTTTTATTCACTACATGTCTCTACATTCTCAGCTCCTACAGTAACTGAATGTTTTTTGTAAAATGTCAGTGCTGCTGTGTCTTTGTGTAACACAGGATGGAGATGGAGGTCTTTCAGCATATGAACTGGAGCGCCTGGAGAACATTAGACGGAACCAAGCCTTTCTGTCTTCCATGAACATACTCCAGGTATGAAGACTAGTGGGGTAGTCCCAGGGTGCTTTGCATTTTGCTACTGTGTCTCCTCGCTTACATCACTTTCTCATGTGAGAGATATGAGGACGTAGGAGCCAGAAGCTGCCAAATAAGATAACATAAGATAAGATGAACCTTTATTTATCCCCGTGGGGAACTTCCGGATCAAATGAGAAATCCTTGGTTTTATAGCAACAGTTTTAAGTGACATCAGTTACATAGTATGACTTGCTTCAAACCATGTGGAGGTGATGCACTTATACATCAAGCTATTTACCGACACACAGACTAATACTCCTTTGTTTTCTTGCACAAAGCTCCCTCATCTCCTCGAGGTGCAATTAAACCTCCATGATAGACCCAATTTAGCATATTGAGAAGCACCCTAGCCACATGGGCTGACCTGTCGAAAATATAGTCTGAATCCCATTTCATGAAACTACCAGTGGCAGCTATCAGGGGAATCAACTACAAGTCAACCAGAAGAATATTTAGTTGTACAGTAATGAATAAAAGCCTAATACACAAATATTAAACGGCATATGAAAGGATATGTTATGTACTGATGCATCAAAAACATTGTGTTATAAGATACAAGTGTAAATGTATTGTAATATATACTTTACATTGAATAGTAAGATATTGTCAAAAGTGCAGCTTTTAATTTCTCATACTCCATTTCTGTACTACATCACATCCCCTCAACAGTCCAAATTACTTGGATATTTTTGCATTCATAAAATAAAAAGGTGGGACAGAAGTTTGTTTGTTTTTTTGCTCGAATCTGGATAAACTCATTTCTCAATGGTGATCCTGTGTTTTATTTCTCTTGTGGTCTCATGCAAAAAGCACAGGTCTAAATTCTATTAATGATTTCTTTATCAAAAGGCAATGGAGGAGTTGAAACAGTTTACGCATCCAAAGCCATCGCAGAGAGGTCTGATGAGGTATGATCAGTGATTTCTAAAGAAAATGATTGTGGGGGCATGACTTCAGATGTGTTTATCATGCCTCATGCTGCTGTTTTAATATGTCTGGGAACTTTTTAACTCAGATTTAAACAAGCATACTGTAGGAAATAGTAGGAAGTGTAAATAATACGTACACCTTGTTCCTTCATTGGTTACAACAACTTGATAGCTAGTTGTCATTAAGTAAAGATATTGTTATATAGCTTTACATCTTTTCAAACAACAGCATTTGCGTTCTTTCTTAATTTCATACCACTGATCATTAATTACTTATTGGTTAGAAAATGTGCATTTTGACATCACTAGAGTGCTAAAAAATGATAGATGTGACTGTAATGCTCCCTCTGTGTTGTTAGGTCACATGCTGCTGTAAAAGAAGTCCTGCCAGCTCGGAAATCCCTTCGTCTCCAAAACATTGTGGCAGAGACCCTGACCCCTCCTCCTAAACCCAGTGGGAAGCTGAAATATACACCGGTAGCTACATGTAAACAACGTTATAATGTATATCATGCTTCACTTCATGCCACTCTGCTGCTCTCTGTCTCTCCATGGATTCTTCTTCTTGCTGCTTTTTGTTTTAAATGATTTCTTGCTGTTGTTCACTTGAGTTTTTTTAACTTGCTTTAAAGTATTTGTTGCCCAAGCATCCTGCTGGCCCTCTGCCCATGAATCCAGTCAACATGGAGCAGGGAAGCAAGCTGCCTTCACAACTTCTGGAGCTCTGCTCCGAGGTAAGACTCTCCTTTCCTCTCTATAGAGAGGCGAAGTCCCGCCCATCTACTTCCGACCCATGGGACCTTATTTCGGAAAAAGTATGTATTGAAGTCAATGGAGAGAGAAAGATTATCTTTCGACCCCGTTTGAATTGTGCCACGAATTACACATATGATGTTTGTCAATCTTAAAAAATCATTTCCATGTCAAAAAAGTCACAGTTTGTCGTAAAACTGTTGAAATATAAGACTATGAAAAATACGCAACGAGAAAGACTACAAATCCCAGAATCCCGGTCCCGCATGCTGGCTCTTACGGAACCGACTCACTCCCCTTGTGTGTATGTACAGCGCTCAACATGCCCAGACTTGTGGTGATTTTCACCTCTTTTAATACTTTTCGCCTCATTCTGAAAGAAAGAAGTGAAATGTGCCAACGTGACGGCCGTCTTGGTGTGTGGTGCGAGACGGGAGATGTAGTTCATTGAGCGGTTTCACACACACAAAAGTGTTACTTCACAGTTTTACAACACATTTAAAAAATTTTGACTTGTAAAATTATCTTTTAAATTGACAAACATCATATGTGTAATTCGTGGCACAATTCAAACGGGATCGAAAGATAATCTTTCTCTCTCCATTGACTTCAATACATACTTTTGTCGAAATAAGGTCCCATAGAGGACTTCGCCTCTCTATTGGGGTGTTTCTATATATTTGTTGGTTCCTTCATTTGATTCTTTCTCACATCCATAAAGAAACACAGTGCTGTTGTGTGCCATCAAAAGGCAGAATAGCATTTAAACTTTAAAATATTTGGAGATCTCTATTGAGATATGTAGGCTAGAATTTTTGTATTGTGATTACATGAATGTTTCTTTTTATAGGATTCGACAACAGAAAGAAAGATGGACCTTAAGCTGAATGAGTAAGATTACAAATTCTGATCTTTCTGCACCACCCCTCAGTTTATATTAGTTTTCCTTTAGCCATTGTTTTAGAATCAAACATTCATTCATTCAACACAACACAAGAGGCGCTTTCACACCGGAGTACTTTTACCCGTACTTTTCCCGTTTAGTTCCGATAGTTCTTGGGATTTTGCGGTCACACCAAAAAGAGAACTTAGTTCAGAGAACTTTTACCCCATTTTTAGTGCCTGCTAGAGAGGTGGTACTTTCCTGGGGAGAAAGAAGTTCCAATTTCTGATTGGCTGGGCGAATTGCAAACCACGCCCCCTAAAACTCGGAAAGGTTTTTTGAAGCCGCCATTGTATTTGCTGGCATTAGCATTATTAGCATTAGCCCCGCGCACCAACGGAGAGAGACTAACTTATGGCAACACAAAAGAAAACATGGGAGCGGTGGAGTGATGAGGAGGTGTCGGCGTTCTGGCGATTTACTCGGAAGGCTTCAATAGAAGCTGCTGGGAGTCCCAGCAGCTTCTATTGAAGCCAGTCCCCAACTCCGGGGACTTCCGGCCGGGGACTTCGGGACAGCGGCTTCATTTGCGTAATCTTCCCTCACGGAACTTATTCCGGTGTGAACGCGATCGGCTCTTAGTTCCATGGGGGTACTAAGTGCTGGGAACTAAGTACGGCAAAGTACTTGGTGTGAAAGCGTCTAAGGTTCATACAGGCAAACAATCTTTTCACGCAGGTATTGCTCTGCCCTTAAGAACATGAGGATAACTGAGGACACCGCGGCCAAAGTGGTGAAGGATCGCATCTTCTCTGCAGCCTTCCACCCCTGCGCCAGCAGCCTGCTGATGGCAACCGGAGACAAGGGGGGACATCTAGGACTCTGGAAGTTGGTGCGCTTCTTTTCCTCTGTTCTCAAATATATTATACATTTGTATGTAATCAATGGAGGGCAGGAGGTCGTCCCAAGATCACCCGGGAAGATCTGACTCCTAACTAGGAAGGTCACAATTCCAGAAAGCTGGCGGTCAATACCAATATCAGTGAACATATATGTTTCTCAAAACTACTTTGATACCACAGTAAAACAACTTATAATAACAACAATTCCCACTCTATTTATCAAACCTTATATTTTTTATTGAAACAAGTAGGGCTGCCCTCGACTAAACATTTTTCTAGTCGACCAATAGTCGTAAATTAAGAGATTAGTCGACTAATTGTTGCATGTTTATGAACATTATGATTATAAATATATATTATTTTTGAAATTATTTTTTTCCCTCCCAAAATGGGTTGAGTTTCAAAGGCTGATAAAGAGCTTTATTATAACAGCATGGTACGTTGTGCTTCACATAAAATATAAAATAAAACTCTAATAATAAACCTTTGAAATATAAATTAAAAGTAGAGCGCATGAGAGTCACAGCGCACGGACGCAGCGGTATAAACAGCAGAAGCTCCGATAAGGAATCTTATTGTGTGTGTGTGTGTGTGAACAAGCAGCGAGGACACACACATGGAACATTTAGTTCCAGTTTCTATTATTCATATCTGAATATAACAAACCAATAAATACTACAGAGAAAACGGAAAACACTAAAAATATGAGCGTCGCCAAAAATCCCTAATCATGAAATGAAAGCTTTATCGTTTTCTGAGGTCAGAATGATTATATATTAAAGGTCTATATATGTTGATACCAGAGCACCCTAGGCAGAAGGTCCATGATCGATATCGTTATCGTATCATCGGACCTGAGGCAAAAATAAAGCAATTGGCCTCGCTGTTCCAATAGTTCTGGAGGCGACTGTATTTGTTTTATGTCTGATATATTTATGTTGCATTGTTGGAGGAGCCTGGGACTTAAGATTTCCATTGTCATATCTACACTGTAGCCGTGCATATGGCAAAGCATTTGAACCTTTGAACTCCACAGGATGTTAGAAGATGGACAAAATATATAACTCTTATATAATATGAAAGACTCCTTTTCCTGCCTGTGTTTGCTCCCTCAGGGGGGGGATTGGGGGGATGATGGTGTGCTACTATTCAGGCCCCACACTCGTCCTGTGAGCTGCTTGGCGTTCTCCAGAGCTCAGCCCACCCACCTGCTGAGCCTCAGCTACGACGGATCTCTGCGCTGCATGGATGTCGAGAAGGCTGTCTTTGATGAGGTGAGATGATGAAATCTCATTTAAAGTGGACCTATCATGCTATATTTGAATAATATAGTGTAGGACCATACCTATATAAGGCATATTTATACTTTTTTTTTTTTCAAAATACCAAACAGATCATGCATTTTAGCCATGCCTCATTTTGCTCAATTTGACATTTTTTAGCTCTGTTTTTGCAAGGGCTGATTCTGTGAGAACAGCACCATCTACTGGCCTGGCATATGTACTACAGCGTCTCCAGCGCTTTCGACCGGCAATGGCCGTGGCTGTCTCCTCCTGATTGGTGGAGTTGGCCCAATAGCCGTAGCGCCACTGTCCTGACGTCAGGACAGTGTTCAAATCTGGATCAGTTTTTATCAGATCCGTTGCAGCCCCTTTTTTAGAGATTTGGGTATGGAGGAAAATAGAGAGGGTTGTGTTTTCTGACACTTGGTGAGTTCCCTGGAACACCGGGGACACATATTCATGTATAAAAGATGTACAAAAGTGCATTTTGCATGATAGGTCCCCTTTAAACTTGTATTGTAAAGATTGTGAGGTAAACCTCCTACATCCATAGGTCGGAAAGAGCTGCAAATATCAGTACCGCCTTATGAAGCTGATGTAAATCTGTTTGCATATTGTTCTACTGTAGGTGTTTATTGAAGATGACCTGAGAACATTTGACTTCCTGTCACATGACTGTTCGACACTATTGGTTGGGAACTGGAATGGAGAAGTCGCCATTGTCGATAGGCGCACCCCAGGGTAAGGGGCACTCGTTGAAATGATGTTTTATGAATGATGTTTCAGAAACTTGTTACAATGGTATTTATTCTCTGCAGAAACTCCCACGAGTCCCTCTACTCTTTGGACCTCAAGACTCTGCTTTGTGTTAGCGTACATCCTTTACAGAAGCAGTACTTTGTTGTTGCAGAAAGCAGGTATAAACCTTTTATACCCTATATTAGAATCATTCCATCCACATTTCTCTTTGTTTTATCAGAATCAGAATACCTTGACTCGTCCCACAGAGGGGAAAGTTGCATTTAGTTGCGATTACACTACTTTATTGCTTTCATACTACTTTATTCCTACACTTATTTGAAAATAAATACTGGTTATTTTTATGTGTATTTTTGTCATTTGTGTCATTACATTTTTTTTAAATCTAGAATATTTTATGCATGGCTGTTCACTTTTGATGGACCAATGTACATTTCCCTCGTCAAAAATATTTGTCTATTGCATTGTACTGATTTTATGTTTTGTCTGCAGTGTGGTGAGTATTTACGACAGCAGATGCCTGAAGAAGAATCGCAGTGAGGCAGTCTCCACGCTGCAGGGCCACTCTTTAAGCATATCCAGTGCTTATTTCTCCCCTCGAACAGGAAACAGAGTTCTCACAACCTGTCTGGATAACCACATAAGGTGAAGCCGACTCAGCACTTGGAATAATTGTGTGAAACTTTTCTTTTCAATCTCAGCTCAATGTCCATCCTGATCTCTTTTGACAGAATATATGACACATCTGCAATGACTGCCGAGTCTCCCTTGCTGACATCCATCAGGTACATCCACTGTGACCCAGTGCTTTCATTGTTCTGAGATCTGTGTTATGGTGACACACTCACAACCTGTTTTATCAATCTTCATTTTCAGACGCAACATGCGCGACTTTAGCGTGTTGAGTAAACTCTCAGCAGTGTGGGACCCCAAACAAGAAGATTGCTTTGTGGTGGGGAGCCTGTCCAATACTCGGAGGGTGGAGGTTTTCCACGAAAGCGGCAGACTCCTGCACTACTTCAAAGATTACGAGAACCTGAAGACGGTGCAGTCCGTCACCGCCTTCCACCCCACGAGGAACGCCTTACTGGGGGGCAACAGTGCAGGACGCCTGCACGTATTCACAGACTGAGATGAAAACCAGAATATGCGACCAAAAAACCTGTTTGCTTGCAGTTAGGTAGCAAGAGCATGTAAGAAATGTGTACGTCCATCTATACTCGTTCAGTATAGAGGGATATCTCAGTGTTTGGAACGAGTTTAATCCCCTCTGTAGATCCATACGTTTGTCCTAGTTCTCAGAGTAAATGCAGTTGCAAAACACACCTATGGTATAGTCACAGGTTCATGTTGTATTATGTTTTAACTTTGCACATAAGTCATCTTAAATCATCTAATAAGTTTGCGAGACTGTTCAAACTCTGCTGCTGGCAGATTGTGAGTGAGCGGCAGTGTCCTGAAGTCTGGACCGAATTTAGTTTGGACTTCTATTTAATTTAGGTTTAGGAATACCTGTTTACTTTGAGGTTAGTTATTTTTTTTGTTAATCAATTAGAAAAATCCTACAATCATACATCGCATCATACATTGCACTGTAGGTAGAAAATTACACATTTTAAAATATTTTTATAAAATATTTTTATAATTTTCTGTTTGTAAATGTACCTGCTGTAAAATTGATTGTGTCCTTTACATATTTTATTTTCTCTTGTGGCTGCTGTATCAATAAAGATTGAGATTTTCTTTTTTTTACCAGACATTTTGAATGAATGCTCCTGATTTCATTAGTGGTAGTATCATTGTCACCTTAAGATGGCAGCATTGTGACTAAGAAGTCTTTTGTTTTCACGCATGCACATTGCTGAGACACTTGTGAAGGCACTGATTTTGGAGGTTTGTTTCTGCCGTGAATTTTAGATCAAACTTGAAGCTGCACTAGCGGACAGATTTCAAGAATAGATTACATTTATTCATAAATAAATTACACCAGTCTTATTTCAGTGATTGGAAATGAGCAGTCTTGTTTGGAGGTAATAAATGCAGAACACATGCTTACAGAGACATTTCCATGTGAAGGAACACGGTACAGGAAGGAAGCTTACAGTAAAACCACATCGGACGCCTTGTTCCTGTTTACATGACTCGGGTAAATAAATACTGGCGTTGCCTGTCAATGGGCCCCCACTTTTTTAGTTCAAGTGTTTTAAGCAAAAACAATACAAAAATCAATGTATTAAACTGCGTTACAATAAAAAATATTCAGGTAGTTGACTATGCTACTTCTGCTGTGTTCAAATGAGTTAAAAATACAAATCGCTCCACTTCCATTTTGCTATATCCTTTTCATAGTCAAACAATTAGTCTTTTGTCAGTTCATTTACATACTTTCACAATCATTTTTGCATCTACTCTGTTTCTCTAAAATGAGTCAAGGAAGAGCAGTGATTAGGCAACGGTCAGACAGGATTTACATGAAAACGTTACCTACGTCTGTGTCATCATGAACAGTGGGCATCATTCCCTCACACATGCATCTACAGGCTGGTCACCTTCTGAGGGGATTCAAAACACATTTCCAATAGCAGTATACATTTGCAGTTTCATGGTTGTTGATCATTATATTATCTGTTATATTTATTGCTCAAATTAAGTTTTTCATACACATGAACATAAAATGAGACCTTAAAGTACAAATGATACGCAGTAAAAACACATGTTCTGCCTCGACTTGCCTTTCACCGTACACAATCAATCAAACACCTTCTGAGTTAAAGAAAACACATACATAACTAATAAAGGCTGAACAAAAAACGTTTTCTATTAAATATATTAGTCCATATTTCTGTCAAACTCACCCAAAACACATAATTAATACTACTTGTTATTTCGCCAACTTTCCCTTAATTTTAAAATGTACAAAATAAAATCAACATTTAAAGCCATGTAATACTACAGGGATTCTCAAAGCACTGATTGTGTTAACTACCAACCTGTGGATCTTTTTGTGAAATATTTGAATATTAATACTTTACTGCCTGCATATCCTAAACCCCTCAGTATCCTAAACCATTGATCTTGTTGCATAACTACAACATTATTGTATTAGGGTATAATATACCAGTCTATAATTTACCACTTGTTGAAAGGACCATTAGTTAACTGTAAGGTTTTACATAAAGCTGTTGATTGCTCTGGGCTGTAAATAAGCTGTTTGTGACATAACACTTACGTAATAAGGCTGGAGAAGGAGAGAGGATATCAGAGTTCCCATCTGTTGGTGCAAACGGACAAATATCAGACAACAGAGGTTTCTTTGGTAGGTGCGATGATGAGGATAGCAGTAGGACGTAAACATGACTTATCTTAGGCTCTCGTGTAAATGTTGATAACTATACATCCACAGTAAAAAATAATGCTTCAAGTCCATTAAAAGCCACTGTGAGGAAATCTGTGTTAACGAGACATGAGTTTGTACAAAAATGGAAACATGACTTAAACATATTCAGCTTTTACAGATAAACGCATACATTTGAACGAAGCAATGGCTAAACAAAGTTAATTGACCCCTCACTCGACATGAACTAAAAATAAGCTCTCTTGACCGTATACTGTGGGGTAAAACAAAGTTACCCTAAATGTAAAGACTCTTATTTATGAATATGAACAGTATTGCACATCAAGATAAACTCCTTCTACAGAGTGAGGGAGTCAAATAACTAACCCAAACATTTCACTATCACTACAGCGCTAGCTCACAACTACTGTAAAGGAACTACAGCAACGTGACGACTGTTTCTTTCACACAGAAGTTGATTGTAGCTATTATTTGGCTGCTATTTTATAAAATCAGTCAACCTACCACCTCCAATACTTACTTAAATCCTTACAAATTGTCTTTAAATCATAGTCATAGGACGATAATGTTATCGGTGATCTAGTGGCTGGACAAAAATGGTAACATGAGCACACCGTTATTGGACGTCTGACCACAAACTAGACACATTATTACTTTACATTATCACCAGCACCAACGTCACTCCTGGGTAAAATAGCTGCTGCAAGTATTTCTCGGTTGCCAATCATATTATTTGCAAATATTATTTAACTCAGGACTGATCTACATTCAGTAAGTGCTGCAAGGTTTTCCATTTCACACTTTCTCTAACCCCCAGATACAAGTCAAAACAGCAGGTTTAATTATCAGTGACAATTATAAATTCTAGCTTAATGAAGGTTGGCTTTAAAATATATAAATAAGATGAGCTAGACTGGCTCTAAAAACTTCACTCAAACTCTCAGGTTACCAATACACTCCCAAACACAAAAGGTCAATCTGTCTCACAATAATGTTGCAGGATATAAATGAATAGAAAAATAAAGGCAACTATATCTGTGGTTGAATGAGTGAAGTCTGTCAGACGTTCAGTGTTTTAAATGAAACCCTGTTACTGTGGCTTTGTGTAAAAATAAAATACCTTGAAATGACCTGAATTTCCAAAGTAAAATGTGATTTTCTTTCCTCGCAGTGATGGTCAGATATAATAAACAAGGCTCTTCAGAGGACAGTCCTTGGCTTGTGACAGTAACTCCCTTAAGAGTAGCTGGGTTGATATTGGGAAAAGGGCTGCCATTCTTTTCCTTTTCCCTCCCCCCCCTCTCCTCTCTCTATTAAATGTCCCGTCTCCATCAGTGCAGGCCTGTGTTTTGTCTCTGCTTCACTTGCTGATGAGGAAACCTCCCATCCATCGTAGCTTACAGGCGAACCAGCGCCGCAGAGGGCAGAAGTATTCAAAGTGGAACTGCTGGAATTCAGGCGTCTTACGGATGTCTCTCAGGAAGGCAATGTCCAGGTCTGACTCTGTGAGCATGATGAGCAGCAGCAGCAGGGCGAACAGCAGCCCGATGGTGACCAGGAACAGCCGCAGCACGCTCAGGATGAACTTGTTCAGCTCCTCCGCGTCGCTGGGTGGGGCCGGCCTGCTCTTCACCAAACGCAGAGCTCGCCTGCCGGATGAAAACTCCGCGGTCTGCCCCTCCTTCGACGCTCCGGCCTCTGACTCCTTGTCCTCCACGCTGCGGGGCGCCCCGTTGAGGTGGCGGTTCAGAGGGTTGTCCATCCCGTGTTCGGCCACAGGTGTGGAGAGCATGCTGTCTGAGGGGCTGTACGCCTCGTCGGAGATGACTGCCGACGTGCTCGCCTCGCTGCTGTCCATCATGCTGCCTCGAGAAGACATGAAGGAGTCGCCATGGGAGACGGAGCGCACGGGTGTGGAGTGGGCGCTGTCTCGGAGGGACTCCAGACCTGAACACAAAGGAAGTTAATGAGTCAGACATGTTTAATAACTGGGAGGTATTGTTGCAGAACACATGAAAAGACGGCTCCTGGCATCAGCCAGACACTGAAAACAATCAGCCCTTAAAACTTCTCTTCAAGGAAGTTCTCCACCTTGAACCCATAAGAAGAACCCCAAAAGGGCAGCACTCAATAATCCCGCAAGACTAAACCATTTCTTCTTGTTACCTGCACCGTTAGCTGGCCTGTGGCAGCCATGGAGTTGTGGGGGGACAGCGAGCCTGGAGGGCGTCCTGGAGCTCTGTCCTGACCCGGGAGCAGAGCCTGAGGAGGAGGAATCCCCCGGGAGGGCGGGGAGGAGCGGGAGGACCCCCAGAACTTTACCCAAGAGCCTGGGTCCCAGAGACAGCACGCGCACATTCATATCTCGATAACAGTGGTTGACCATGCGCAGGTGAACGTTCACCTTGGTCTTGATCCGGATCAGACACTTCACCATGGTTCCAGTGGAGCTAAAACACCGGTCTGAGACTAACTTACTGCTGTACTTCTATTCTTTATTCTCTCCGCTCTTGAAACAGCCTCCTCTCTCTCTACCTTCCTGCTGTGTGTCTTTGTCATTGACTGCGGCTGACTAACTAAGCACCCCCCCCCCCCCCCCCCTCACCACAGAGAGCCCCCACATGCTGGCAGGCATAAAGATAAATGGAAAGACAGAGTGAAAGACAAGGAACAGGAATGTGGCTCACCACGGTCCCTCCCTGCCGTGACACACATGGCGTGGCCCCTGACAGCAGGAGCTATTTTCAGGCTGAGATATTATTACAAGTGGAAATGCCAGCGCAGTCAGAGCAACAGGACAAACACAGGGGGTTTGTTTCAGTGTTGCAACAAAGGGGTGCAATATCAGAGCCTACAAGAGAGGGCTAGTTTCACAAAATACCCTTTTTGAGGAAAACAGACTATGCTACAAGTTTATTTAGTTTTAGAAAGGCCTTACAACTGAGAGGAAATAAACTCACAGTGGCAGCTCTGGCTAAAGGTTAATAGCCTGTTGGAGGAAAGATGGGACGTAAGTGCCCTTTATAAACTGACAGATTGAATTTCCGATGTCAAAATAATGCCTGAGGCCCCTGGCTCAAGGATCTGGAGTGTGTGTGTTTCAGAAAGCGAGCATCAAGAGTGCAAGATAAACATCAAAGGGAAGAGAATGACTGACACTCACGAGTGGGGGGGCGCTCACATGGAAAGGCTACTTTTCTAAACAGGAAATGTGTGTGTGAGTGTATTACAAATTGTGTAAGAGCCTTAGGTGTGTAATCTATAGTTGATCAAGTCACACAAGTGATTTCCAACCAAATTGTACCCCAGAAGTATAGTGCCAATTCACCACATATCGAGATATACTGTAACACATAGACTAGGTAGAAAGTTAGTATAACTATATATAATAATAATAAAAATGATATGCCAAACACTAGCATAGAATAGTATAAAATCATTTTTGTACAAATTAATAATCAGTCTATATAGTTATTAGTGGTGTAGAAACTTCACTTAAAAATAATTTAAATTGAACACATTTACAGAATAATGAAGGATGTCAGATAAAGGCTTACTTAGGTTAATATAAAAAGGCTGTTTGGGTACATCTAGGGATAAAAGGGATGGAAACACTAAGAGATGTGCAGACTGACTAACATCTGCATTTTTTGTCTATTCTTTAGAGCAGGGGTGCCCACACTTTTTCAGCTTGGGAGCTACTTTTAAAATGACCAAGCCCAAAAGATCTACCTACAAGGCCTGCCCCAATCTGTGGGGGCGTATACACTGTGGCGCGCTTACACTAATTGCGCCGCATAAGCGCATAATAGTGCACTGCATTTGCGCTTCAGATGAGGAGGTGAGGCCCCCTCATCACTGCATGAACCCGTATGGCTCAATACAGCTCAGACTAGCTTACCTGTACGTCAATCAAGTGGCAAATGCCATAGTAAGGATGGATGATGTATTGGGCACCCCTGCTTTAGAGGTTAGGTTAAGAGTGAGATTTACCCTCCATGATGGAGATGTGCACAGCTCTCCGTCGGGTCCTGGGCACACTGGTCAGCCGGGGGCCGTGAGTGATGGAGGGGCAGCTCCGACTCGGCACCATGCCGGCCCTGGACAAAAACACACACCCGTATGCACATGTCATGCATTCAATTAATATTTTTCTTCCACATTTCAGCAACATTTCGAGCTACACGAAATATTTCCTATATCTATGTAGATAAAGATTTATTTTAAGGATTCTGACCTGTGTATCTCGGGAGGGTCTCTCTTAATTTTGGCACTTTGTTCCATCACTTCTTTTGCAACCTTTCCACTGAGAAAACATAGAAGTGAATTCATAAACATAAATCAAGCACTGCATCTCAAAGCTGTCCTTAATATATAAATACTTAATAATCATAACCTCTTCATAAAACGTATCAACAATATTGTGGGAGCAATTCAATACCTGTATCTGAAGCGGCTACCCTTGAAGAAGAGATTGCTACTGGACACAGTGCGGACTTGACTTGACTTCTCCAACCTGTAAGGAAAGGGAAAGAGAAAACATAATTAACATAATAATAAACATTGTGTACTCTATGCCGTGTTGTGTCTTATGTGTTGTGACTCACTTGTAAAAGGCCTGATTCTCTACGCCACATTTCCACAGGTGCTTACAGGCCTCAGGTGTGGGTGCAAAGAACGTCAGTATGATCTTCTTATCCTGTAACATGTACAGTACATTAACTCATACTTACATATATTACATTTTACTTCAATCAGACTCCATGGGGTGATAATGATTGTCATCAAGAGGACATTTCCTGTCTGATTAACTGAGCTAAGGGCCACAGTGCATTATAACTGATCAATCAAAGCACACATTTGAAATACCAACTCTCAGACAGTGGCGTTACTTTGCATTTTCCCCTGCTAAAACCGAGGGCTAACACTTCTGCCCAATCACTTCCCATTTACTTCACTATTAAGGATAAATTACACTGTCTCCCCACTGGCTGTGTCCCCATGAATAAAACAAGGCCACACTCATTAAACTCCATGAGCTCCACAGGCTAGAAAATGGAAAGTTTTAATAATGCATGCACATACCTCTGTTTGATTTGCATATACATGGAATGTCTTCGCTTCGAACTTGAGTTTGGTCACCTCCTCCCTGAGTTTGAGGTACAGAGACAGACAAAACAGAGGATGGACAGACAAAGAGGGAAATGAAAACAAATGGAAACAAAAGAAGACGAAGTGAGAAAGAGAAAACAAGAGGAACAAAAACAGCAATGGAAGCAGAAAGAAGGGAGATGCAGAAATGGATATAAGTGTTCAAATATTAATAAAGCCTAGAGGGGAATTCACAAGGCCAACAGTAATTCATTTCAGAATTCAACAATCTCGACAATATGTTACCAATCACAGAAAATGCCAAGAATAAGCTGATAGATATTAGGAAAGCTAATATTTCTACAACAACACCACTCCAAGCTACTCAGACTGTAAGGCTGGTTGATTCAGCTGTAACTAATATCCTTTGTACGGATCACTGGTTACTCTATGTTTCATTTGGACTTCTCGTCCAGTGCTTGCACATGAATCATGATATATTGGAGGATACTTTAATACCTGATAGGGAGCGTTGTTTTATTACATTTGTTTCCTGCAGGAATGAGACTAAATTTAGAAGATATTAAAACAAATGTTTGGAAGTTTTCTGGCACTACTGAAAAGCTGGAAAGATGTATGTTCTCATTGGCGCTTTATATATTTAGTTATTTCTGCTTTGTACTTAAAATAGTCCATATGGAGATTTGGGAAATTACTTCATCTTTACACAAACAACTACAAAGTCCTCCTCATGAATGTTGGCATGCACATACAGAATTTATCCTTTTGTCCAGTTCATCTGAACTCACCAGTTGAGGAGATGGACCCTCCTGTTTCCTTGCAACACAGTGAATCCAAAAGGAGTAAACGCCAGAAAAGCTGGGTTCCCGGACACATCCTCAAGACACATGAACCAAAAAAAGGTATTATTACTACAGAGAAGCAATTTTAAAATCACAGTAAAATAACTTTCTCTTATAAATGTCCTACGCTGATAAAGAAAGACACTTGAAGACAGTAAAATAACAATTATATCAATTCCATGCTCGACTTTGATCTCACATTAACTTAAAAAACGACAACTCATTGCATGAACGTTATATTCAACACAGACTCATTGAAAGCAGAAGCTCATATTTCCAGAATATATATATGTTTTTGTCAACAAACACCTTGCATGGATGAGGGTCCACTCCATACGTCTCCAGGTTCTGAGCCTTCTGGAGGAAGTTGAGCTCTGATATTTCAGGGATCTGACCTCTGGAGACAAGAACAATAAGCCAGTTAACTCGCATTCACAACCAACGTCAAACTATTACTGTGTTGTTCTATTTCATCATCATTTGATTTGAACTGCGTACTGTTTTTGATAAATGTGCTGAAGTCTCTTCTCCTTAGCGTATTGACATCTTTTAGATTGTTGATTTTATTGCATTTAAATTGTCTATTGTTTTTTACTTGTACTTGTTTTATGGTGTGTGAGCTGTACTTTTTTGTATGTTTTGTTTATTTGACTGTACAGCACTTTGGTCTGGAGGTTTTAAAGTGCTTTATAAATAAAGCTGTATTGTAAGTCGAAACATTTACTCTCTGTCAAACAAGCACATGATTTCCTATTCTACCCTAGTTTATCATTCTGCCAGCAGTGTGATGAATATTCAATTTTCAGGTGTAGTTTGTTACTTCGCTGACAGTAAACTATTGGGAGATGCATATCTGATTGTTCCAGACAACATGGAGGCAATGACCTATAGAGGGCAGTGCAGGACCAGGCGGTGCCTTTGCCCACCTGGGTTTACCCTATCCCATCACCCATGAAGGCATCATCTGGAGGAGTCTGACAGCCTCACTGTGTGTACCTGCTGGGACAGGAGGCTCTGACCTTGGCATGCTCTGTCTGGCTGTCTCCCACTTTAAGGGCAAGGAAGCAAAGCAATGTTAACTCAACCTGACCGCCACTATAAATTCACATCAGTCCCTGAGCATAAAACAAACACTGCACTAGGAGAGAATGACATAACTACCATCCTGAAAATCCAAAAAGGTAGTCATCCCTTGCTAACCATTTTAAAGATAATGACTAGGGACCGCATCCATCACCCTGGTCATCACCTGCTGTATAGCTTTCTTTCAAGATTCAAGTTTCAAGGCTTTTATTGTCATTTGTGCATAGCTACAGTGTAGTTATGATAATGAAAATCTTAGGTCACAGGCTCCTCCAACAGTGCAACAACAATAAAACAGATAATAGTGCAAGTAAATAAAATAAAATAGAATATAATAAAAATAGTGCAGAATAGTCTATATACAAGTAATTGGAATATTGATATATATAAGTTGCAAACAGATGAATGTTATGGATGTTCTTTCAAAAGTGCAGGTGTTTAACAGTATAGTGAGACCAATCCAAGGCCCCAGCCATTACACCTGACCTTTTACTGTTCAAGGAGGGGACATGGCAGCAGCCTAACATCTACCCAAGTGTTTTAAGAGAGCAACAACTTGGGAAAGGAATCAAGAAACTTCTCTGATAAATTATAAAACCATAGACTTGATAACACTGCCTTTTATTTTCACTACTTCTGACATCCGACCCTTCGAGATTAAATCGTGGCAAAATGTTCCTAGACTCTTTGAACTATAGCCACCACCAATAAGGGAACACATCCTTATTCACCCAGCCGGCCAAACGCTGCAGTCTGAAGGATGTTGTTGTCTGCTGCTGTCAATAGCCAGGCATGTGAAGCATCAGGGACTGAACTGAACCTGTGCATGAACATTTCAGTGACTTGTTTTGCAGAAGTGGGTAGGAAGGTCTACAGAGAGAGTGAAGGCAATGTCTGCTAAACAACACAGTACCAAAAAGATGCTCAAATGCACAGAATGTAATACTAAATACTACTTAAGTAGCCTGGAAATGTGTGTGAAATGTGGTATTTTGGTTAGAGGAAATCAAAACACAACATTAAATATCAATAATGTCTAATGTTTTGGCTCTATGAAACATGATGTACTTATATGATTCTGTTTTCTTCAAGTTTGTATCTTCCTGGTCGAATGCACTTATTGTAAGTCGCTTTGGATAAAAGCGTCAGCTAAATGCAATGTAATGTAATGTAATGTAATACTGTATCTTAAAGCATGGTTATCATGTATACACACATATCATTAGATTAAACAGCATTTTGCAATTGTAACATCACAAACTAAGAAGTTCTGAAGAAAGAAAATAATATAAATCTGGGAACTCTATTGATTGGAAACATTCACGTTTTCAATTATTCAACATGTAGGCAGGGGAAGAACTAAAATATTTGTAAGATTGCTCCAGGGTCAGGAATTGAATGCTTTGGATCTTCTGTATGAAAACAAAATGGTGTCACTATTAAGGGAAACTTTATACTCTACACCACTACTGAGAAATACCCATAACCTTGGGTGATGCTCTTGTGCATTAGACAAAGGCTCAACTCTAATAGCAAAGTGCAACTGAGACAATGGACATCCTCTGCGTGTCGAATTCAACTGTCATAAGTGTATCCAAAACGGCATCTTCGTAAAGCTAAAAAAAGCAAATGTATTCCGCATGAGAAGAGCCAACTACTACTGGAGGGAGGAGTGGGTTTCATCAAATAAATAGAGTCTAAAAGGTTTCCTTCAATGAACAAATGTTGACTTAAACAAAGCCTGATGGTTTACCGGAATAACCTGTGTGAGCAGATTTCAGGCGTTCAAATGTGTGGTTCTTGATTTTGAAGCGAAATGGGCGACAAAGATCCACAAACCGTGGGTTATTGACCTTTCCTTTAAAGGAGTCATCGTTTGTGTGAGTGAATGTGAATTGATTAAAAACCTTTGACAAAATGTTGGCTAATTTGTAACAACATTTCTGGATCCGAGGCATATTGTCTATCAAGTGTAAATAATGCATTAGCACAGTCTTTGAGGGATTTCTGACCTATGAATTTAAGATGCTCTGTAAGAGTTCAGGCTGCAGCACCAACTGTGAGGTGTGTGTTCAGTGATGCTCTGTACTGTGGCTGCTGTGGAAGTGAAGGACTGCACAGGAAGACAGGGGCATGGACAAGTGTCACCTTACATCAGCTCAGTCTTGTGGATGTCAGCAATCCGCCGCTCCAACTTCTCAGAGTGCTTAGGGAAGAACTGGAACTTGGAGCTGTAGCCCTCTGGGTGTTTGCCGGGGTCGTGGTCGCCAATTTCAGCTGGAGAAAAGTAAAAAAGACACAGAAAAGGAAAAGCTATGATTACTTTTTAATCCACTTATGTCTTTACAAATGTGATTGCCTTTCCAAATCGAATGGCTCTGGTTGCAAGTATTAGAAGAAGTACAAAATGCAACAATATGTGAACATAATATATGATGTTTACCTAATGAGGGTTGAAATATTTTCTGCAATGAGCAACTGATAATGTTGGGTCGAATATTCATAAATTGGCTGAAACCATGAATATTATAACCTCATATCAAACATGTTTGCGGCATTAAAAAAGGGTAGTTATTTATATTCAAATGCATATCATTTGTATCTTTGCATTCAATTACTATGAATTTGTCCAAACCAAAAGCCCACATTACACACATTTGTTCACAAAGAACATTAAGTCAAGGTTTTGAATACACCTGTGCACACATGTAACCTTGATTCCATGCAGTACTTATTTGTTTGGCATATTGGTACTATCATAAATACCTGCCAGTTTTATTCTGTGGCCAGCTTCAGCACCCTAGCTTACAAACCGCTGACATCCGTTCACTGATGGTGGAGGAACAGAGCAGTGGAGGAGTTTGGCTACATGTCTGCTCTCTGGGGAGATCTGTACTGCTCTGGCAGCATTACTGCTGGAAATGGATTTTTGAGAGCCAGAAACATTTCAGTTTATATGTGTAACTGACATTATGGATTCACATTTTCTGACGTGCTGTCGAGTGCCTTTCTGAGCAAGAGACACCTGGTGGGAAAGCTTTACAGAAAGGGAAAACTCAGACTGCCACTTGTTTGTCCAGGCAAAGTGAAAACACTGAGTCATGAGGAGACAAAATGACAAGCAGATTGTCCTTACTGTAAAAACGGACACAAAAAGGCCTTCAGTTAGCCCCAGCAGAAGTTTTCACAATATTCTCTTATGGTGTAAATAAATACATGAATACATTAAAATAGATATAATCTTACATAGATATGTACAAGCAAGTCAACAAGAATTGGCTCATTGTATTGTGGTGTTCACAGAGACTCCCAAGACTATTTACACAAAGTAATAATTCTGTCTTAATAGCTTTCTGTGGTGCAAAGAGCTTATTACATTTAAATGTTTTACTTTAAGCTCAAAACAACCAATTCAGATTTAAAAATCTACATCAAACAAACATTATCTTTAACCTCTGAACACGCTCTGCTTGCAAATTTTCTCACACCCACACTGCAAAGTACATTTACTATAGCAGAATGTGAGCATATAGACAAATAAAACACAGCTGTTATTTAACAAGCTAGGCTCATATGGCAATCAGAATGTCTGCAGTAGATTGTAACAAAATTGAATAATATACATAAAAAGTGGTAAACAAACCTCTGAAATGTATTTACAGTTTTAGTTTAGCGTGCAATTCCATCTGTGGAAGCTGAGGTTGGTTAACAATAATATTGAATCGCCTTATTTCTCTTTAAAATAAAGTGTGGGATCTAATATGTTTTAAGAATATGTCAGAGAGGACACCATGACACTGCGATGTCAGCCTTGTATGACATTTAAAGGTCCCCTATTATACTGTTTTTCACCAATATATAATAGGTCTCAGATATATACAAAACATGTCTCTGAAGCTCCAAACACCAAACAGATCATTGCAGCATCCCATAATCCCCTCTGTTTCAGCCCTGTTTCCAAAGTGCTGATTCTCTGTCTGTTACTTTAGATGAAAATAAGGAGCCACTCCCCACGCCCCTCTGAGAGATATTTGGTTAAAAATAACACAATGGTGCTCTAGGAGGAGATTCAGGTGATAAGGTGGGGGGGGGGGTTACCTTGGTTGGTGATTGGCTAATTGTTACACAAGCCAAAACATCGTTATGACATCATAAAGTGGCCAAAATCTGATCAGCTCATTTTCAGACAGGTTTTTATATAAATGGATCAGGACAAAAAGAGAGAGAATCTTTTTTCCTGAAACTTTCAGAATCTCTTTACACAGAGGGGACACATGTTGATGAAGAAGAGACATGAAGAAGAGGGGACACATGTTGATGTAGAAAAGACATGAAGAAGTGGATTTTGCATAATAGGTGACCTTTAAGAGGAATACATCTATGATGATTGCCTTGATACCTTGTAATATGTAGGCAGCCAACAGAGCAGCGTCGGATGTCTTGCACAGGAGGCGGCCATGGTAGAGATCCCTCTTAACCTGCAGGAAGACGAGATATCTGTGGAGTGGAACACAGATAAACTGATTTGGGTCATTATTTAGATAATATCAATGTGGGCGGAAACGGTGGATATTTCGGTTTAAAGATAAAGTGTCCCTTGAGGCTGCAGGTTTGTCAATGAGATTGTCAACAGAAGAAATCATGAAAATAAAGAAAACTATACAATGATAGATTTTGACGTGTGTTGGCTAGTCTTCCTTAGATTTGATATCTGTGGTTATTACAGATAAGCTAGTAAAATATAAAATAAATGCAGCTAGCGACAAAACCATTCTGAAAGGTCTCCTATTAAAGTATTTTTAGGCATATATTATAGGTCTCAGATATATAAAAAACATGTCTATGAAGTGTTTTGCTCACAGATCACCCATTTTAGCCCTGCCTCAAATCCCTCTATTTCAGCCCTGTTAGAGAAGTGCTGATTCTGGGTCCGTAGCATTAAAACAAAAAACAAAACACGTTGCGCATTGATAGCTAAGTTTCTGATGGGACACATATTTATGTATAAAAGACATAAAAAAGTGCATTTTGCATGATAGGAGACCTTTAATGTTTTTCATTTTTGTAAAGCACTTTGAATTGCCTTGTGTTGAAAGTTGCTATAGATGAGAGTAACACCTACGTCACTTCCGGGCGAAAATTACGGCCCCACCCACTTTTGGGGGAAAACAACGCTGTCATTTGAATGGCGGTCAATACACATTTTGGATCTTCAAAGAGCCCGATTACGACGGCCAGTCAGGCAAACAATTACATCAAATCATTGGAAATCGACGATCGGGCTCGATATATGGTTAAATTAAAATCAGTAGGCGAGGCCGTAATTTCGCCAGCTGTTACTCTCGTGAGCGAGGCGGAAAATAATAGTTTTATCATGCCAAAAAACTGCTGTGTCGTTTATTGCACCTCAAACATTAAAACAAATCCAGAGTTATGTTTTTCTGTACTTCCTCTAAGAAAAAAGGACAGTGAAAGAAGAGCTCTGTGGCTTCAGGCTTGATCGCCATTCAAATGAGTGTTGTTTCCCCCAAAAGTGGGCGGGGCCGTAATTTTCGCCCTGAAGTGGCGTAGATGTTACTCTCATCTATGGACATCGATCGCCTACTGCTATATTTAACCATATATCGAGCCCGCTTGTCGATTTCCAATAATGCAATGTAATTGTTTGCCTGTCTGGCCATCGTAATCGGGCTCTTTGAAGATCCAAAAATCCACGGTTTTCTTAAATTTCTGATCGGATTGGCAAAAACTTCAGAATTTGAATTGACCGCCATTCAAATGACAGCGTTGTTTTCCCCCAAAAGTGGGCGGAGGCGTCATTTTTGCCCGGAAGTGACGCATGTGTTACTCTCATCTATATAAATAAATGTACCTTGCCATTAGTCTAGAGCCCCTCTACAACCAAAACTAACAATTACTCTATAATTACAAAGCATATGATTGGCAATCAAAAGTTTCTTATTGGAGCATTAGACACAGGACATGCAGTCAACCTCGAGGCAGAACTTGGGCTAAAGCATAATCATGTTGAGAATTGACCGTGATCTAAAATATGATTGCTGGTTTGCACTGAAGTCCACTGGGAGCGACTCACTCACCGGGTCTCAACATCCAGAGATTACTCATATGTCAATTTTACCGCTAAGCAATCATTTCAAACGCCTGAGATTCTGCTTTTCTCCAAGCAGCAAAGCAATAAATAGCAAAGTGGTAAAAAATACTGCTATGGGCGTCATGATTGAACCGTTTTACATCCTGCCGCCACCTTGGTGTAAAATGACGATATATTAATAGCTAAAAGCAACATGAAGATCTATACTCTATACATGTTTATGCTTGAATGCCACTCTATGTGAGGGTTTCCACTCAGAACAGATGGAGGAGGATGGAAGAGCTGTCCCTTGCAGGCTCAATCCAAAAGAGCTAGTTTGCAAAGAGAGATTTCACTGCGTGGCGTGGCAGATGGATGCGATTTACATGGATCCGTGCGCTTGGAAGCTCTCAGACTCACTTCTCTCTCCTCACAGCAGTTTGTTCAGCTGTCAAGGATGCAACACACACTAGAGAAGTAGTGAAGAGCTTCATGACTGCAGCTTATGGTATGAATACGGAAATACTCAAATCCCCCCGCCCCACACTAACGGCCCGTCCACACAGCATCATTAAAAAATCTTGGAACGCTTCTGCCCATTCACTTTGAATGGGGTGACGTCACTTTGCCTCACTTTTCGCCGAACTGCATTGTGGGCAGCAGAGCGGAGATTTTCAGGATTTTCAGGATTCAAAGTTGAGCAATGTTCAACTTTTGAACCTGAGGTGGAAGCGTCAGCCAATCAAATCCCGTGTATGCAAATCTGACAGTTCAAGCGCTAGCCAATCAAACCGCGTGTATGCTGGGAGAGACATACCGCAGGTCATTTCCTCATATTCCAAAAAATGGAGGAGAAATTAGCGGTAGGGAATCACCCGGTGCTTTATGACCAGTCCCTATTTACCTACCGGGATATAAACCGGAGGAGCCAGGCATGGAGGGAGGTGGCAGAGACAGTGGTAGGTTTTCGCCTGTTTGGGGAGTTTATATCCAGTTTACTTCGGGCTTTTTTGCTTCGTATGTCGGGGGAGGGAGATTCATGTGATTGGTTGTTGGTGCCTTGCTCGCAAAAAATCCCCAAGCTTCAGATACGCCCACCTCCAAGATTTTTTTAACGCTGCTGTGTGGACGGGCCGTAAGACTCACTGTTGGGATGTATATAGTGTTTTTATTGTGTTCTTGTACCTTCATTATTGCATTGACCCATGATGAAGATGAATTAAAATAAAGGGGTTCTATTACGCTTTTTGGGGTTTCCCCTTTCCTGTAGTCTGTTATATAGTTTTTGTGAATGGTCTGCAAAGGCTTAAATCCCAAAGTTCCCTCCAGAGCACTTTCTCTCCCTGCCTGGAACGCCTGCATTGGACTCCTTTGATTTATTTTGTGACATAATGACATCACTATGTAACACTTGCTCTTCTATTGGCTAGCGCTCCAACACATTGAACGTGATAGGCTAAGGGGCGGGACATCTCTAAGCGGTTGACCAGTCAGAGCCAGCCAGCTAACCAATCAGAGCAGACTGGGCTCTGCATGGTTTCAGACAGAGGGTGAAAAGAGGTGCTGCAGCACAGGCAGTATGAGAAAAATAAATAACTTTTTAACATTAAAATATATGGAAACGTGTCACAATAGAGGCACAAAATACAAATATGAACACTCTTTAAAATAGTGTAGTTCAGATGACCTGGAATAGTAATTTCGCTGGAGAAGACGGCGAACTGAAAAGAGATTTTAATTTTCCTTGAACATTTATTGTAAAACTATTACATTTAATTGTTTTACTCAATTAAGTTAGGATGGTTACATAAAGCAGCAACTATTGAAAGGATTATCTGTTCAGACTAAAGCAAATACGATTCATAAAAACCTCTAACAAGCTGTAGTTATATCTTTTTTAATTATCTAAAAGAGTGCTGCAGAGGCATTCAATTATAACCGTTAAGAATAAGAAACCCTTTGATCTGGTTTTATGAAACAAGAAAATGAATAGAAAGGCAGAAGACAGAGACATCCCCTTTGGTTTAATCAAATCTGTCTTGAAGTGCCACGGAGTTGTTGTTATTATGTCAGCATTTTTACATCCTGGATATAACGGCCAACATTTTTTATTGTATGATGTAATTGTCCCAGGTTGAGAGTAAAAGGATTAACGGGCCAACTGGGTTGAACTTCTGTTTTAAAATAGACATCTCTTTTTCCACATTACTGTTGATATTACCAGTGAGTGGTCAAACAATGAAAACCATTATCAGAAGTGTTAAAGGATGTCCTGGTTGCCTGTTGAATGGTTTGCTAATTATTGTAGAGACCTTTTGATTCAGAAAACTGTTTGCTTACTCAACCTCTTAGAAAATAATAGTGGCAAGAGGCTCAAAGCTACATTAGCAGCTAGCATAACACCAGAAAAATATTGCTGAGCTGTCTGTGGTTAAGTTGCATTGTTGGTGATTTAAGTGCAGAGATTGGACAGTTAAGGAGAATCGATAGAATTAAAAAGACCATTTATTTAGTTCTCCTGCATTGATTTATATAAAAATAACACTACTCACCATTGTGAGCCTGATACAATACATGAAACAGCATTGCAATGCTAATTCAGTGGAGCACTCAACGACTGTACTGCCTTTTGTATAATGAGATATTATTAAATGGTTGGTATAACGCAATTGGGAACAAAAAATACCTTTGCGACTTAATCAGGGAGGGATAACGAAAGTTGAGAGAGGTAAATCAAATCAGATATACATTTGACTTAACCTCCCCACCTGCAGCCCATCATGCGATCCTGAAATCTTACCTGGTGATTTCCTCTTTCAGGGCAGCGGGGTCAGGTGGGTAAAACTTGACTCGCAAACACATGGTGAACGGAGGCTGGGCTGAGGAAGAAAGACAAACATTTAAAATGAAATGCTTTGTTTTTCATTTGGTTGGTTTGGTGGCTCATTATTTCAGAAATGTTTGCAGAGTATATTAAGCACATTTATTCTTGTATGTTTTTTTACTTAAAGGTGGGGTGTGTAATTTATTTCAGAAACACTTTTTGTTATATTCCATGGAATGCTCTTAACATCCCGATAGCAATGAATATCTTAAGTGCTTTGACAATAAATACATAAAAACATCTCATCTGTGGAAGCCGTAATACTGTAAAAAGCACGACCAATCATTTTAGCCGGCCCGGCTAAAATAACTGGATGGCCTACCTGCCTGTCAGCCTTCCATCTGTGCACAAACTTATCTCGTGCCCTCATTGGTCATGTGCGCGTTCGTGTGTTGGAGGAGGGGCTCTGTAAGGAAGTCTGAAGGAAGAGGCAGATTTTTTTCTGGTTGTGCACTTTCAAATTCTAGCGCACTCGAGCTGGTTTCTCCAAAATTACATACCCCACCTTTAACCAACTAATTAGGTATGTCAAATGATATACTTACATTTTATTTGTTTGGCAATTGACTTTGTAAACTCCAACCAATGCTGAAAGAGAGAGAAAGAGAGAGAGGTAAAGACCTGGACAAAGACTCTGTGGGTGCTAAACTGTCAGCCTGAACTCTGATTGCTCAGCAGCTGAGCATGAGGATGTGTAATCTATAGCTGGAAGGCACAGTGGAAGTACTTTCACCTCCTTGCTTCCTTTTCATTTACACCCCCTTGAACAGCGTCTCTATGCAGGGAGGCGATGAAGGAAATCTGTTTGCAAGATAATCAGGAGACTGCTGTTCTCCGTCAGAGTGCTAAACATCGAGAGACCAAACTCTAATCAGTGAGATGATGACACGCTGAGAATAATGGTGCATTGCGCTCGCAGTCATTGCAAAACACAACGATGCTGTTAATTATTAACTTTTTTAGGAACACCTGCATTCACATTTTCATAACATGTCTGTTATCCACTCTTCAGATCCCCTTTGCATTTGAGAAAACAACTTCAAGCCTTGAAAGCATTTTTGAATCCCATCCACAGTCCATATTGCAATAATTGACAGATAATTGGTCAGCAATGCAAATCCACCAAGGACTGTGTTGATTTTTGTGATAGATATTCCTTTTTGAGTGAGGAGTATGGCCTTTTGCCAGCTTGCATAATTGACCTGCAGGCTAACCTACCTGTCCTGCAAATATTAATTTATCTAGAGGAGAAAAAAGACTCACTAGATGAGTAAGACCTGGCATTTATACCTTACACATCCATCACTGCCCGTGAGACTATAACAATATCAGCTCCTCCAGGTGATCTACAGATTCCTAAAGTAGAGATGGTCAAGACTGACTGAGATAATGTGCCAGCATTGCTGCACAGGGTTTCATTAAACCTTTTAGGATTAACATTTGAAGAGTGCGATCATCCTCAAAATGAACTCCAGCCTGTTAAACACAACGCTAGATTATCTTTGAACACATTCAAATGTTTTTTACAGACTACTGTAAGTGATTTGCTCTGTGAACCTTTGGTGCACATTAGGGTTTGCTATAATTCATTCAGGCAAATTATGCAGTTTGGGTGAAGTAGTTTTAATTCAAGGAAACAAATGACAGATATGTATGAAGAAAGAATGACACTTGAAACCAACTAAAGAAAAGAGAGTAATGGAACCGAAGAAAAGTAGGAAACCGGAAATGAAAGGAGGAAAGAAAGATGTCAGAGAGAAGCAAATGATATGTCACAATGCCACACATTAAAATGAATTGATTCAAACTGAACAAATGAAATACATTTTAAAATAGAATCCTTACCCTCTGCTTGTCTGGATCAACATATCGAATGCCAAAGTAGTCTTTCTCCAGCAGGTTGAGATGGTGGCAGATCACGTCGAACAGGTACTGTCCCTTGGCGTCCCGCTGAAAGAGAAATTATTCATAATGTACTTGTTTGAGGGACAATAAAGAGAGAAGGATAGAAAATAGAAAACCAGCTACTTATATTTGCATATTCACAGATTCAATTAATGAACCTCCAGCAGATCATTCACATGTATGTGCACACTCACACAAATCGACACTGCCTAAAGCAGGAAATGACATTGCACATTGTACAATGAAAACATTTTTGATAGTGTCACAATGTGTTTCCCTTCCAACCAGGAATTACATTTTTTGGAGCATCCGAGAAGTTAGAACAGCCACCAAAAAGTACTTTAATATTTCACCATCCTCAAGGGGGATATATGGGGACTATTAAATATTCATAACAAGGCTGCAGCCACCTGTGAAAGCTTTGAGACATTTCTGCAGCAGAACAAAGCAAGCAGTGAGACGAGGTGTGAGCAAAAGAAAGGCTGAAGAAGGAAGAAGCCATTGTCAAAACCTGACCCTTCCTCATATATGAATACCTAGTACTCCTGGTACTAGGATGGGTTAAAGCAGAGAACACATTTCACTGTGTGTGCTGTGTGCTCTGCATGTGTGACCATCAAAGAGGGTTTCATCCCTCCAATTATATTCTATCTCTACTTTGTATATCTTTTGTACCATTAACCCATACTGTAAATACAATTACATTTGAACTTAAAAAAGAAGCTAAATGAATGTAAAGTACTGTCAGGTGTTACAGTGAGTAGGAGAGGAAACCTGGCAGTGGGAGCACGGCTCTTGCATAAAGCTGCGTCTGCCCCAAAAGACTCATTAAAACATATTTTAATGAAGTCTTTATTTAGATTTAACTGCAACCATAAGGTACATGCAAACAAGGCTGAGGCTGACGCATAAAACAACATGAGGCCATAACTGGGGCTTTGGTTACAAGAGATACATTCAGCTCTGAACTATGGGCATGCTGTTCAGCTAAATAAGAGGATAGAAGTGCAACATATTAGAGAATTATGTTGATTAATGATTTCAGCGGGGGGGGGGGGAAATCAACATCATTTGGATGCAAAGGTAAACATGATAAGGTCAGTTTAGCTGATTGTCATCCTTCTTGAAAACAATAGAAAGGGTTTTAACAGTAGCATTTTGGGAATTACATTTATAAACCTTCTTTCCGAGAGGTTATTAGAGGCTCGAAATATCACAGTCGCCAGGTAGCTTTACTTAGCACCACGTCTGAAAATGTGGGGAAACAGCTAGACTTGCTGGGATGAAAGGTAACTAAATCTAAACATATTGTTGCCAATGCGTAAAATGTTGAAATAAAGTGTGGGGATATTCAAGTAAATACAAGATGGTGGGCAAGCTTTTCAGAGTACAGATTACACCCTTTTTTGAGATTGAAACAGTTATATTAACATGCAAAGATCTCCTGTTTTCACAAATAACATTGCTAACTATTTTACACACACCTTCAGTTACTGATATAACAATCAGGAGACCTTGGGTTTAATTTAACAGTCTATTTCCATTTACGTATTATGTTCTGTTATGTGTATTATAGGCTATAGTATAGCTTTTCTTCCTTCAGCAGCAATGGACACTATCAAATATCCTACTGTGCCCTTTAGAGGAGACAATGCATTCACATGAGTGACACAAAACTGCATAGTCAGAGAAAGTCAGAGGCAGAAATATGAGAACGGAAGAGGAAAAAGAGAAGAGAAACACAAAACCAAATACAGAGAGGGCAAGAACTGAGAGGCCGGCTGACACTGATTCATCTTCCTCAAAACACTATTCACAGCAAGGCAATCAAAAAAGAGAATACATGCAGCAAAGGGTCCTTGTTTGAACCCTTTTCAGATACAATCCCTGTTGAGATATACCGTTTCAGACAAGGTGAGAATCTCTATGACGGACCCTGTTTACACTTCTGTTTCACTCAATATCAGACAAAATGGCAGCACAAACACCTCTCAGGTCACATGTGGATAAACACTGCCAGGGCATGTTGAGATTAGAGTGGATGCCCCTCTTTAGGTGGGGTTAAACCTGGGCTATAATGTCAAATAGCACTTATTGTAATTGTGGGGGAAACTTCTGAAGCAATTGGAGTCAGGACTCAGAGAGACACGAGGAGAGCTGGAGCTTTGATGGCAAACACTGACGGTTTATTTGTAGCTTCTGCCGGAGAATTCACAAGACATATCACGGGCCACGAGTTGACCACGCAATCAATTTTGAAGAACCCTTCTGTAGTTCGAGGTTTTAATAGTTCGGAGTGTAATAATCAACATTCTTCAAAAGATAGACTAAACTGAATCACATTTGTTGTCGCTTATGGCTCGGGGTCATCTACACCCCGAGAAGGATGTGTTCCAGGTGTCCCATAACAATAACTATCTCTGACCGAGAGTTGCCCGGTCACAAACTGGCAACATCAACAATATGCTAGGGCAGCCCCTCCTTATGGGAGATAACGGCTGCTCAAGGTTGGTCAGCTGCGTCAGAGGGCGAAGGAGGACATGCAGGGCAAATTATTCCCCTTGTTGTGAAAGATTGCTTATTTCAAAGTTGTCTCATTGAAACAAAATAGGTTACATTTCCTCAAAAAGTCAGACTGATTGCCTTAATGTGCATGAACAAGTGATAAAGTGGAGCTTCTCAGCATCTGGAAATAGCACAATCTCTCAGTTTCCACTCCTTCTTTCTTTAATCTCTGTACGTTTATAATCCGATTCATGAATTCCCAGGATACGCAACTTTCAACTAGCGCGTACAAGTCTTTAGCTCCATTCACACTGTAACCCTGAAATGATCCAATCATTGCAGGCAGAGCTGTATGTAAGGACACAAATTGTCAGAAAATGTTGGACATGACATTGAGCAGACTTTACTGTTAATGTCCACTTGAGCTCATCTTTGAATAGAGCGAGTTACCATGTTGATGACGTTTCCATGTTGCAGCACACTCTACCTAGTAACCAAAATCAAAAGGAGTAGAGTGTGAGAACGCATCTGACACATATAATGGCCTTTTTGTGTGCTAGATCTGTGGAAAAGGAAACTCTGGACAATAACTGGACCTGAATCTCCAGAAATGATCAAGAGATCATATGAGAAGACAACACTCTTGTTCATTCTCACCACCCTGACAAATTTGTTATGTATCTTTGTATTGACTTTGTATGCAGCCATCCTGCCTTTAAAATAGATTTTGCATTCAGTCTGACGGACCACAGTCTTGTATCCTTTCTGTTCAGACGTTCTCTATCTGTGAGTGTCAGCACTTTATTGAAGATACAGTATACAGTATCACACATATTCAATGACATTTAAAAGTCCAAAACCAGGGTATATGCAGGAATCCTGAAGTCAAATGTAATACCTTTTAAGACCCTTTTTAAGACCCTTTCCATACATTTTAAGACCTCATCGCCACTTTGAGTTTTAACCGGTTACATTGGCGACACACTTTACCTCACATTTGACTATATACAGTATTGATTGTCCTTCCTCCTTATCTTCCAACCATTTGGACGCAAACTTGCATTTCCCCATAACGATGTTGTTTAACAACCGGCGTAAACGGACCTTCGCGCGCTATCAAGCAGTGAGCGTGCGATGTCCTGTTCAGATGACGTCAAATCCAACGGGATGCCATAAATAAACTACACAGAATCACACTACACACCTACGCAATGATTACATTCAGGCAGAATACAACCTCTTTGGACAATTTATATACTTATTGAAAACAAGCTACAAAATGTAATACCTTGGAAAATGCTTTTTAATAGCCTTAATTTTCGCTAAATTGATTTATCAACTTTTAATACTTTTTAAGACCCCGCGGACACCCTGAAAACGTAATTGAAATTGAACAAATAAAATGCTTGTCCAAACAAAATCTGTAATGATGATCTGAAGAGTAATCAAAGAGTTAGTGGCAGGATTGCAAGGGGGTGCAAATTAAATCAGTGAATGTTTAAACCTAACGCCAAAACAAAATATTATATATATCATGTGCGGTTGTGTCGAGTTATGCACTTGCCAGACCAGGTCCCAGGATGCATGCAGTGGGCTGACCCTCCATCTCCTCTGTCAGTGTGTCTGTATGTCACTGTCACCATTTACACACTGACGCACCAGGACAGGCCTGCTGACTGTCCCAGCAGCACAAATAGAAACACACACACACACATGTACAGACGGAGCCTCAGCCCTCCTTCCTCTATTATAAATGTCTTGTTGGTGCACCTGTGAAACCTGGAGCTCCCCCACATCTTCAGAGCCTGAACCTCCCACTTCCTCCATCTGCTGTGCACTGTAGTGGAAACTACAGCGCTGCCCAAAAAAGACTTCCCAATTAATCATCGAACTGCTTCTTTCTTTCTATATGCAAATCAGTGTGTGTGTGTGTGTGTGTGTGTGTGTGTGTGTGTGTGTGTGTGTGTGTGTGTGTGAGAGTTGTTGATCCACATCCAAGTTATGAAACAATAACAGAGAGACAGTGCGATTCATCTCAGTCCAACACTTCAGAAGTAAAATGAAACTAATTAATTAATTAATAACAATAATTCAAGAGGCCCTATTCTGCTTTTTGGGGGTTCCTTTTCCTGTAGTGTGTAATATAGCTTGTTGTGCTTGTAGATGGTCTGCAAAAGCCAAAAACCCTCCAAAGGGAGTTTCTCTCCCACACACCCCCCCGCCTGAAACGCCTTTGTGTACTTCCTTTGTGTACTTCCGCAACATAGTGACATCACTGCAGGCTTTTAGTGGCTAGCGCTCCACCACATTGCACTGTACACTAAGGTGCGGGACATCTCTAAGCGGTTGACCAATCACAGCAGAGCCGGCCAGCTAACCAATCAGAGCAGACTGGGCTCTGGTTTCAGACGGAGATTTGAAAAGAGGTGCAGTAGCACAGGCAGTGTGAGAAAAATAAAGACCTTTTTGAACCTTAAAGTATGGAAACATGTCACAGTAGAGAAACTAAATACAGATATGAACCTGAAAACGAGCATGAT